CCCCTGGCCCGCGGGACCCCCGCCGGGGCCCCGTTTTTTTTTTTTTTTTTACTTTTTACTTTTTTTGCCGGGCCCAGGGGTGCCGACCCCTGGCCCGCGGGACCCCCGCCGGGGCCCCGGGGCCGGGGCTTGACAACCCTGGTGACCAGACCCGCTATCGTCTGGGTGTTTTGGCGAGAGTGCCAAAGGGTCATCATAGAGTAGTGGGTATGGTGGTCCTGACCTGAAGGCAGGTTAAAGGGGCCATCAAGATAGATGGTCTGATTGGTCCTGGCCTGAGGCGGGCCGAATAGGGTATGACAGATTAAAGGGAGGTTAGTCATTCCTGGCCAGTGGTGGGCCAAAATCAAGACAATCAATAACTCTTGGGTGTGAAGAACTGTTTATGTTTATTTATTATTTTATTATGGGTTTCTATATTTATTTATTTCTATTTAATTACTGATTGATGACTATTTGCCAGGGAGTATGTATGTTGGGATTGTGGAACTTGTTGTTTTGCAGGATCATGCAGACACTTCAAGAGCTCCAAGGCCAGAGAAAAGTAAAGGGGTTTGGTATTCCCCTTTATTTGTCTGAGAACGTGAGGATATGCCTCGCTCAGACTAAAGAAAAAGAACAGGGTTTGGTATTCCTTGAGTTGCTTGAGAAGTTGAGAAGACGTTTCACTCAGGTCAGAGAACAGGAAAAGAGTTTGGCATACCATATCGCCAGTATGGCAGACAGAATGAGTGTCCTCAACGTTAGAGTCAATTGGACAATATCCCTGGCATCACTCTCAAGACACGGAACAAGGTTACTTCATAGTTGAAAAAGTTCAGCGGCAAGTCAAGCCAGCAGCAGATGAAAAATCCTCCTTAAATTTATTTGGTGGCCGACAAGCGGCCTGGTTCATAAGGAACCTGCATCCCCAGCCTTAAGATACTCAAATTCTCAAGCCAGAAACGGTATAAAGGGTGGTATGAACAAAAGGTTTGAAAGGAGAAATTCATAAATTCGAGAGAAAATCGCGCTTATACGGGATGTAGAAGACAACCATGAAGTCAATCTGAAGTAAAGAAAGAGAATGTAGAAAAGGGTGCAGTCACTAAGATGAGAAGAGGGATAAATTGTACATAGGATAGGGGTTGATCCAACAGGCACTAGGGCTCTGCTTGCCGCGGGGAAAGTAGGTGCTCTAGGTGAGTATGGAGGAGAGGAGGTGTCGGGCACACCATAGCGTGCCTCAAACTTCTTGTGGAAGTACTCCATCATCGTAGGTGATGGAGTCCTTTCGTACTAGCCGGTAAAAGGTTGGCGCGGTATGGCCTTGTGTGGGAGTCGTAACCTCGCAATTCCTCGTCCTCCTCTGAGCTATATTCACGCTGTGTGCGAGCTGGCGGCTCTTCACGAGCCTTTCCTCCCCTACCACCTCTCCCTCTTCCCTGTCCTCTACGTGCTTCGGGCATGATGCAAGAAGAGTCGAAAAGAAAAGAGATGCGTGGAGATGGGGATTGAGACTGAGGGAACTTTGCAAGAGTAAGAGGGGTATATTACTAAATAAGAAAGAGAGGAACGAGTGTGGATCACACAGATCTGCTGCCTAGTGAAACAGGAAAGCGATCTGCAAAAGAAAAGTGCTAGCGTTGGTCCGCTCTATGAGAAACTCACTATAATGTACAATGAAAATGAATGAGAGTACAAACAATTGTCTTCCTTTTATACCGGCGTTGCCTCGTTTTGGCCCAACGGGGACACTGGGCGAGGGTCTGGTATCATGTCGGAGGGCGTGGTGTGTCGGCCCTCCGATGTGTGCCGGGTGTTACCTTCGCAATGAGTCAGGCGTCCACTCACATATCCTACAGAATGTCGAGCCTTTTACACCCCTGGCAGGCTCAGTACTGGTGTGCTGCAAATGGGGTCCACTTCAGCGGCGGGCTGTGAAAAGACTAGGGTGGTATGTGTAGGCTGGGCGGTAACAATCGAGTAAGGGGTGGAGAGAAGAAAAAGAAAACGAAAACCGAAGAGAAAGAAAAAGGGAAAAACGAAGAAAAAGTCACGTTGTGAGCCCTCACTCTGAATCGAGTCGTTATTTTCATATGTATTATCTAAGTGTCCTCGGGCTGCAATGGCGGTACGTTTCGTTCCTTTTCTTTTCCCCTTACTATTATTATTACAATTATCATTATTACTATTATTATTACTATTATTATCAATGTTGCTTGTCGTTCTCTGATTATCGTTTCCCTCGATCGTTTTGCAGGGGGACTGACGATCTGTTTTCGAAATCGGTAGTAGTCTATGGGTTGCCTCGTATTCCCAATCCTCCCGCTTTAGTCGCCG